ATAATCGCTATCATCACAAACTTAAATATTAACACACTCTCCATCGATCTATATTTACCTTGTGGTTCAGAACCAGATGCACCTGAGAGTTGTCCATTGGTGTATTCTGAAGTTATCATGGTTGGATTTCTGAATCCGATCTCTGCTTCCTTCACTCTCCTATTTATAGTTCCTCATCTCCATCTAAATGTGTGGGTCTTGGTCTGGAAGAGGTTTCCCACAGTCTGAACCAATCAGAGCTCAGGACTAGAGATAATAAGAAGTCTGCCCTGCCATATGGTCACTACTCATGTCCACAGGGGACAATGGTTTGATCTCAGGGGAACAGGTGGACGACTAGGGTGAGTTTTTTGTGAATGTGGGAATGTTATAAAGAGTCAGTCGACTTTGTGGTGTATAACTATTTCACACATTCATTATTCCAGCACACATGCAGAATCAAACACTGAAAAGCTTAGTTTTGGGAGAACATTAAACCATTTTGAACCAATTAATCAATTGATATCACTTTTGTTGTTGTTTATATTGTTTGGTTAGTCTTATCTGAAACTTTAAAACATTTTATTCAACTTCATTTATTTCAAAATGTGCCGTACAGATCAGTTTCAACCTGACAAGACCAAAGTGGACTTATTGCTTAAATCAGTTATTCATCTTTACTGCAATGTCTGCTTAGATTATTCCATTTTTTTAATCTAGATGTTTTATATACTGAAATGTTCTTGATGTGAGTAGAAAGTCACTCTCAGTTTCCCACCCTTAGTCCTTCCAAGACTTGGTCAGTGAACTACAAAAGGACTTTCAGTGGAGCTGTTGTGGCAGATGCTGGTTATGTCTGTGACATCATAAACCATCTGGAGGGAAGCCAATTGATTGGCTGTCCAAGCTTTCATAGTATAAAATTAATACAATTAAACTGACAGTCCGCGATTATCAACATTTTAAGTTTGCAATAAAAGAGTTTTGGATATTTTGTAAACTTCTATTTTCTTTTCTCTCGTCGTTCAGATGGTTCAAATCTCCCATCTTTATTTAAAGTAGGGATCAGAGCAGATGTCTCATGAAGTGTGCCAAGCATCACTCAAAAACTGTTAGCTGCTGTTTAAGATGCAAATTCATTTGAACTTTGACTTTCCTCCGCAGTGTTTCTAAATGTTTCTTTGAATGAAAAGTTTTCCCCAACTTTCCTGTTAATCTGATACATTTCAGTGGGTAACACTGCAGAACTGTAGAGCAGTAAGTTTAAAGCATAAAATTAATCTTTCCCTTCAGGTTCGACGCTGGATTAGGTGTGTTGAACTGCACATTGAAAATGTTACTTTACTAAAAAAAAAAGTAATAAATGTAGTTTTTTTAACACAAGTTCAAGACACATGCAACATCAAAAAATGTTACTATATTTACAGAACAGCTAAGATTGTACTGAACAGTCCACCTTTAAGGTAAAAGAAACAAATACTTTCACATATGATGAGCCAACAGTACATAAAATTTAATGACTCCTTGAATTTTGGGTAATTTACTTAAATTCATTTGGTTAACATTAAAGAGTAAAGATTGTTTGAATAACTATTTTTTTCCGTTAGAAAATTTAAAGTTGTGAAAAGTTAACACAAAATAATCTTCAATTTTAAATATTATTCCCATAAAATCCTAAAAAAAAAAAAAAAAATCTAGATCTCTGACCAACTAGGATTTTTGTTAAAAGGGAATTCCAGTCTGTTGTTATATGCTATGTCCACCAGAGGACGCTGTTTGCTGGCCCAATGCCTAATTCATTCTGGTCTGGATTGTGGAGGAGAGATTATCTATATAGCCATTTCAGCCAATCTTGAGTTTTGGCTGAAATGGCTCTCCATAAATATTATCCTGAACCTTCCAAATATGAATGTATTCAAGATCTCAAAGTGCTGTGTTCAAAATACATCTTGTCTAAATACTTGTCAATGTTTCAAATATATCTTACAGTTGAAATATTTATATATTATAATCTTAACTGATTTAGAAATTGAGAAAATGATTTTAAAATACTTAAATTTAAGTGCAGATAAATGTGACTACCACAGTAATCTAAAGGTCACCAATTAATCCTACAGTTTAGGCTAAAAATATCCATATCCAGTTCTTTTTTAAACCAGTTTTTATTTACATTTTATTTAAATATTACATATTGAAAATTGTTAATGACCAGCTTTTTGAATGCTTCCACTGGTATGTAGATGACTTATCTATGGCGAAGTCGTGTTTTTGAGTATGGAAGGCCTTCTTAATCTTTATCTCCTCAGATTCTAAGTGTTTTAAAATCAGAAATAGTGTGCAACATAAAAACCCAAAACAGTGTCATAGCTAATTAAAATCTCTTTATTACAATCACATGTACATAATCATATTTTAAAAAGCTTGCCGTAGTGAAAAGTACCCTTGCACAGACAGATGGGGTTGGTGTTGCAGGCTGGATGGAGGGATTGTCAGATGGAGTAGAACAAGTGTTTTTCGTTCCCCAGCAGCAAGTGTCTCCGCTCCAGTGTGCTTTTAATTTCACATCACATGAGGACAGCAGCGCTATTTTCAGCCATCCGTGTCCTTGTGTAACGTAAGCAAAGAGGGTGAAGGGGGGTGGGCGGCTAGGAAAATTTCTCTCTTCGTCATCCATTATTCAGACTGCTTGAATCACAACCGAGAGAGAAAAGAACATGGGAATAAACACAGTGGATGTAAGATTCTAAGTCTTTACTCACTGAGTGCTGTTCAATTAGCCACCCGGGATTTTGTTTTCCTTAAAGTAAATGGATAAAAATCAAATGTTAAAGCAACCTAAAAATAGATAGCTTACACAAAGGCTGGAAGAAGGGCAATGTTAGATGGAATGAACTCAATCCAGAGACGACAGTAAAATAACCTGGTGCCACTGTTCACTCACAATTTGCTTGTCTGGACTTTTTCAGGTATTCAGCAAACAGTTCCCTTCACACACACCTTGTAAAGATGTGGGGAAAACCTTAAAATAAATACATACATATTAGTAAAGCGGCATCTCACATAAAGACGTTTTGAAAAATTTAAATTTTTAATTTAAGTACATTTAACCTGAAGGTAAAAAAAAAAAATCCCGTGCTAAGAACTGTGTGTCATTTTTTAAGAAAACAACAGCATCAAAATGATTGACATCCTTAAAAGTTACCATTGGCTTCCTATTTTTCTGGGATATAAATATGAAGTGGAACATGGGTCCGATTCTCTTAAGCCACTCTTCAAAATGGCAGATGTGTGGGGATTTTGACAAGCTAGTAAATGGTTTTAAGAAAAATCACTGCTTGCCCAAACATGGCAGTCACCACGTTTCTAACAGTTTATTTAAGGCGCACACATTTTTACCAAGGTGTGAGTGAACATGGGGTTTAGGTTATTTAAAATGAAAGGAGAATAAAGAATAAATGGATTCCACTTAATTGTCGCTTAATTTTAGGAACAGATGACATATGAATGAATGAAAGAATGAATTAGGATATGTGTGCCAATGAGACTCATGAGATTAAAAACTTTTTAAAAGTAACGTTTTAGTGGATATTAAACACACTTTTCATTCTATATTCAGAATCTTTTTCAGTGGTCTGATGTAACTTTCTAATCTTAAATGTTGTGTTTTCATCATCTGTAAGCAGAAGATCATAATAATTGGCAGAAAATAAATGACTATGACTATGCAGCATCATTGCTGATGTATATTTAATGTTTCCTCCCACATGGCAGATTTAGACTTAAAATAGATTTTTATTTAAACAAGAAGTTCTTTTCTAATTGGAAATAGCGCTGACATTTACAAAAAGAAAATAAGATGGGGAGGGGAACATTTCTGGGGAAAACATAGTTTTGTTTTCATTTTAGCAAGAAATGCTGTGTAAGAAAAAAAAACGACACCAATGTTTGAATTTTTTGGTCAAATTCAAACAAAACTAAATCTGCCAGCCGTATGAACAATTATTGACTTAACCATAAACAAAAAGATTTACCCTCACAAAATGGGTACCGGTACCTTCTTTCTTTTAGCATTATGTTTAAGTGACTAATCTTTTCAGAAAGAGATTTGTGTTGCAGTTTCACATACTGCATAAAAGAGGTTGTGTGAAGTTTTCTTTGTAATGGTTATGCAACAAATAGAAAAAAAAAGTAGCGAATATAACAGTTTCACGAAAGCAAGGACAATGAAGTGACACAATTTAGCTTTTTGAAGCTAAAGTTGGCAGCAAGAACAATGTCAAATATAACTTAAATTGTTTGAAATTGACTTCACTTGCAGATTTCTGACAAATTTTCCAGAAAAATAAGATAGCTTGTCATATATCTATATTCCCTGGGACATGGCTTCAAACCATCTGTTTCATCATGCAGTCATGTCATGAATTTAGACATCTTCCAAAATTTTGATCAAAAATAGGGTAAAAAAAAAAAAAAAAGCATATTTTTTCCCCCCATGTTCTCATTTCCATTACTATCATAAAATAGCTAACATCCATATATGGAGAGAATAAATTAAAAATAAAAACATCATCAACCTCATTCCAAACAGTCAGATGCACAAAATCTCTCAAAATCATACCTGAAAACTAGAATTTCTCTTTACATTACACAACCTATGGAGAGCACTCTTAAGTTTTAGAAACAAACAAAAATACCATCTATGAACAAGGACATATGATGTTTTAAATATTCTGATGATACAATTTTTATCCCTGCGCTGTATATACAGCCTCCACAACACAGCTATAAGTCTACAGAATCACATGATAAACCACTGGAGGCATCAGATGGCACCATCATATCCTCAAACTCTACCCTCAGTCGCACTGTGTGACAAAATCAATATGTACATGTCATAATGACACAAAACAACAGTAAATTCAATTTCAAAAATCCATTTAAAGAGACAATAATATTTATATAGTGTGTTCTCCTCATAAGAAAAGTAAATGAAAATATCACTAGCTTTTAAATGACTTAACTAGCATTAAAATATTTAAAGATCATTAAAACTGTCCACGTTTGTTTTGAAACCATCACAAGAAAAATATTGAAATATGTCCAACACAACCACAATAAACTACTTTTTTCCTCCATAAATCACTATGATAGTTTATAAAGAAAACATCAACAAAGACTGTCATTCTATCTACAGTTGTTCCACTGGCCTAAGTCCCTGGTACAGAAAGGTAGGGAAAACTTTTTATATAAAAATGATGTGCAAAAAGTTTTTTTTTCTTCTTAGGTCCCTTCCACGGAAAACACTGTAAATATCTGTGTGACCTTAGCTGTTGCCACTGCAAACTCCAAGATTACTGTGCACTTGTGGTGTCTTATCACTTTGTGCATCCATTTTGATTTAAAACAAATTACTGCATTCGCTGAAAAGCCGACACCAAGGTTACCTTGACAAAACTAACTTGAGGTATTATTGCACTTGTTCCTGAACTACGGACCTGTCACCAGCTTGAAGTGGAATGTCTCTTGAGCTCTACCTGCAGAGCAGACACTGCGGACATCAGCACATCCTCCCTTATGTAAGGTCTATCAGAGTTCTACTGTCCTTTCTCAAAAAACCCCTTCTCCTCAGGATTTGAGTAAACATGCATAAACAGTTTTATGCGTAGATCTGTAAACATCCTGCCGATTTTAAAATTCCTGGCAGTAAAGGAGAGCCATGACACGTGGTAGACTAACTACTCTATGCTGCATTCATGTCTCTGAATTAACAGTTTTCTACTCAAGTAGAAATATTCAATAAAATATTAGTGGTATGTAGTTATTTTTCTAATTCTGGCAGATCCCAGATCAGTTGCAGCAATGCATTTAGTTTTAAATCGCTGGTAAAAGATGCTGGTTGCTGAAAATAGCAGGAGCAGCAAGTGACATGATAATTATAATATTAACAATTAACGCTACTAATAGTGTAATCCTAGTAATTAACATTTATATCAGTCCTGACAGAAGGTTCTAATTAGAGATAAATAAAAACGGTGATCGGTGTAACACTACTTTTACTAATGAGTGCTTTGACTCCACATCACTTAATTAGGTTTCTTAAAGTGGGGAATATTTGCTGTCATATGCATGTTGTTTTAGATTGAAATTAAGTAACATGAGTGCAGCATAAAGTCCTGACCAAGCATTGCAGCATATTATTTAACAGATTAAAGTTGAGCATCAAACCTTCTACATGAAAAACTGTTGCTTACCACTAATCCACGCACTTTTATTCTTGTTGCACAAAATCATACTGATTATTTTTTAACAAACTGTTACTATCTGAAAAAGGCTAAATTTTTCAAGATTTTGTATCAAATCTCCAAGCTGTCATTGTCTGCTTTGCTACAGTTGATTTGTGTCCTTGCCTTTGATATAAAAGGAATTTGTGATTTGTTTTAAGTGCACAGACAAGAAAATACACCTAGAATAGTATTGCTTTCCAAATATCCCATGGCCTGTTAGAGGTTCAAACCCAAATATTTGTAAATGTTTAAAAAAAATCCAGTAAAATATACTTAGCATTGGATGTAGCATGAATCACATGGTGCAAACACACACCGGCTCATATGACCTTGCTCATTTGTTTGTCATTTCAAGCGTCATGCACTGACTCACACATTTTGTCCGGAGTGCTGTACAGTGGTCACACACCCACACGTAAAGCTATCAGTTGAGGTGATGCAAAGCAATGAGAGTAAAGTTTTCCCTTTCAGACATATATGCTAACAGAACAATACAACAGTTGTGTGAAGTATCTTGCTTCCTGTCTTCCGCAGAGAGATTAGAGAATGGATGTCAGTTTTATCTTTGCACTTCAGATACTGGAGGTAATTAGTTAATAAATAAAGTCCCTTAAGACTTTACTGACAGCCCATAATCCACTAAAAATGTCACCGGAAAAATAATATTTGACAATATGTGAAAACAGTCAAGCAGTGATGGTTCTTGCATTAATTGAGCCCTGGGGAAGCCTGTCTATCTACACCTCACGTCAAACCCCCACTGCTGGATAGAGTTGTATAGTTTTACTTCTTATGTTCCTTTTCGTAGAACTCTAACAATCCTACTCATTTTGTAAAGCAACCATTAAACAAATTGTGTTTCTAAGAGTTTGTATCAAGGTAGAGTAACACAGTTCAGGTTTTTTAATACTGTAAACTTTACATAAATAGCCTTTTAATTTTGCTCTAGATTGAAAGCTGGGAATCAGACACCAACCAGCATTATTATCAGCATCTGCACTGCCCATTTGACTGTACATGCAGAAATCAATATAAATCTGGTTTGATTAGAACTGACATGCTTTTTTGTAGTTAGGTGCTCCTGACCCCACACAACTCAGTACCCAGTGCCTGGGCATTGAACCATATCACAATTAACAAAACATCCACTGCAGCCATACTCTTATGGGGTTATTGAGGGATATTGAAGTACAGTGGAAAAAAACAGAATTGAGGGTGGCTGTCAGACTTTTTGGTATTTCCTGTTTTAAAAACAGTATTATAAACCCACCGATGATTCCAAACATGTCTAATTGAAGTGACGTAAGAAACTCAAGGCAGCTTTATATCTTCAGTTCCATTGGGTGAATGACACCTTCCTGGAATGGACTGAAGAGACATTGGTGATTTTCTTTCACATTGTTTGTTTACACTCCAAGTCTAAATGGGCCTTCCACCAATCCTACTTCAGCTGACATCCATGTTCTTGTCTAACTCTGAGAAAGACGGAACAAGCAGATTCACATAATATTATATCATTAGTTTAACATCACACACACTCAGAGGTTAAACTAAACATTGTGTCTGTGCAGTTAGACAGTGGTGACTGTCAACAAGGAGCTTGGACACAACATGTCCTCCTGGTTGTCCAACCTGGTCCCATGAGTCAGCAGCTCCTCTACGGTTGTCCAGTCATCCAACAGCTTTCTGTTCCTCAGACGACTCAGCTTCCGTTGACTCAGCTCCAGGACAGTTTTGCATCGCCCCTCAGCAAACGGTCCAACTCCCCTGCTTTCTATTAAGCCTCCGTCTCCTATAGACGCTGCTCCCCGGCTAACAGCTTCTCGTAAAGGTCCGCCTCTGGCCAGCAGCTGTTGCTGCTTTTGCTCCCGAGCCAACAGGAAGTGTTCTCTCCTCTCTGTTCGACTCCAGTAGCGACCCAGCAGCATGTCAGTGTTGTTCTCTTCATCAGTACTCATTCCACTCCGTTCATCTGCCAGCTGATGAGCTCGATCTCTGAGCAACTGGCTCCTTGTGACTCGTGAGGTTGTGTTAGGTCTAGAGCTTGGGTTAGGTTTTGCCTGCAGACCGGAACCGGCATTGTGACTTGAGTTTGCATTTATTTGTCCATTCTTTGCCTCACATTCAGCAGAAGTTCCAACTCCTGTGTGGCCCTCCAAAGTGCTGTAGAGACCTCTACCTCCTCCACCTCCATAGGACTGACGACTGGCCGGCTTTGGCCAGGTGTCGTTGACGTCTCCAGCCTGCAGTGGGAGGACATGACTCTGGAGGTGCTGCTGTTCTCTAGCTCTGCTCCTTTCCAGCTCCAGTTGCCTCTCTCTTTCCTTCTCCTCCTGGAGCTTTGTCTCTCTTTCCCTCTCCATCTCTCTTTCAATTTCTCTTTCCCTTTCAATCTCCTTTTCCTTTTGTAGTTGTCTCTTTTGTTCCAGTTCCCTCTCCATCTCCCTCTCTCTTTCTGCCATCGCTGGCTCAGGCATTAAGCTTCTATCTTGAGTGTGCCACCAGTCATTTTGTGTGATCTGACCACCCGAGTTGTCATAGCATCGCTCACTGGTGTTGGTGCCCCTGACGTGTCCCAAAGCAGCCGGGTGTTGTTGGGGTGATAGGGCCATGCCTGTTGGGTGGGAAGCCATCACACCAGCATCTAGCTCACCTTCCTCTGGCAGGCCTGGTGGAAGGACGTTGTGTGGAGTGACACCTCCACAGTAGTGCAGAGTTGCAGCACAGTAGGAAGGTGATGCTGGGTGGCTGGCCCGGCGGCGGTATTCCTGCGGAGGCGGTCGGTGGTGTAGGGTTCTGCTCCTCCTCAGCATGCCTACTGAGCTTGAACCCTGGTGGTTGTACTGCTGCTGCATGGGTATTTGTGGTCTTCGATGGCTGGAGGGTGTGCTGCAGGTGGAGAGGACTGGGGCATTTATACGTGGGACTGCGGCGTGAGAGGGGTTGAAGAGAGCGCCGCTGCTAGAGCTGTGGCGGTTCAGACAGGGTCGGTCAGCTTTATGGAACTGGACCGATGAAACCCTGGAAATGAAATTGTTCTAGTTAACTGATGCGACAACATGTGCAGCTGAAATCATGTTTCCATACACATCGTAAAAAGACATAGCCATTTCTTTAACTATCACCATCAGCACTGGATCAGAAAGAAAAAAATATATATCAGTTGAAATTACTGACATTTGTATTTGTGAAATTAAAATTAATAAAAGGAATTTCTCTTTAGAAATGAATTTATTTTCTTTAAAATCTGAAGTTTACAGCTGAAGTTTACATACAATTTGAAACTAGATCCCGCTGGCTTTCAACTCCAGCGGGATCTAGTTTTAAATTGTATGTTTTTGTTTTGAAACTGTAAGTTTTTATTTTTTTTATTGTTATGTTGTGTTTTGATGTACAGCACTTTGTATCAGCTGTGGTTGTTTTAAAGTGCTTTACAAATAAAGTTGGTATGGTATGCACTAAGGTCTATGGCTTTAAAGCTGCAGTATGTAACTTTTTGATGAAACTATTACTATGTAGTGACAGTACAAATAATCAGTGAAAGAAACTGAGCTCCTATGCTTTCTCCCAGTTCTCCCAGTGCTAACTAGAAACAACCAATCAGAGCCAGGAGGCGAGTCTTGGTGCTGTCAATCAGACCTCCTTCTGGCTTTGATTGGTTATTTTTTGTCTGGCGTGATGCATTTTTTCAGACAATAGTAGTTCAAGGAGGAGTATGACCATTTGTATGACAGTATGACCGACTAACTGTCTTATACTGTCACAACACAGTGACAGTTTTATCATACACACACATATATATATATTCTTTAAAAAATTTCATACTGCAACTTTAAACAACTTGGGAAAGCTTGTTGCCTGACATTAAGTTAAAAACAAGATATCTGTGGACTTCCAAAAATCTGCATCCTCCTTTGAATTTTCAGATGCCTGAATCTGCACTATTCACCTACTCATAAAATAATTATCAAGAATAAACCCCATGGAAATGTGCAGTCATAATACTATTCAGGAAGGATTCAGATACTTTGTGTTGTGCTGACATAGGCTGAAAGGCTGGTCAGCAAGGAAGAAGCAATTACTCCAAAAGCAACATTAAAAAAGATAGGCTTACTGTTGCACCGAGGGAGCAAAGATCTTAATATTGCCAACCATAACCTGTGCTCTGATGACACTTGAAAATTGATAAAAGTTTCACTGTTACATTTGGAGAAAAAAGCCTGAAGGCACCATCCCATTGGGTGGCACTGTTATGTTGATGGGAGGCAAATTACAAATTATATTGCATCTTGAAGAAAGAGCTTTATATGCAAATATGCAAGCAACATTTCAAGACATGAGCTAAGACATTAAATATTGGGTACAAACATGCCTTCTGACTTCACAAAGACCCTACAAGCATGCCTCTAAATTAGTTACAAAGTGACTTTAAAACAAGAAAGTTACTGTTTTGGCTTAACCTTAACCCACAAAGCCATCATGTTGATCTCTTAAAAACTCATAGAAAATATGTGGACAGAACTCAAATGGTGTGTGCAAACAAGGGGACCTATAAACAGTTCTGTCAGGAGGAATGGGCCAAAATTCTAACGTACTGTTGTTAGAAGCTTAGGAATGGATAGTCAAAACATTTGACTCCAGTCATACAGTTCAAAAGTAATGCTACCAAATACTAAAGAAATACAGGTAAACGTCAGACTTTGACTAAAGTAATACAAAAAACTGTCTTTCATGTAATTCTGGTGTTTGGCAAATGGAAATAAATTTGAATGAGCAGAATAATTCTCAATTGACAGGGCACACATTTTTGATTAATAAAATATATTCTGATCTATTCATTTGGAAAGCAATGCCAGTGTAAATAGAGGGACTCATGAAACATTACATTTAAAATGTGCACAAGTCTTTCCGGTAGGCTCCCTAACACTTATTTAAATACTATGTTACTTTTAAACAAGGCAGCCAATTAACTAATGAATAGTAAAGGAATGTTTTGGTGGTGGACAAAATGAAGTCATGGTTTTGAACACAGGTAACTGAAGGAAAGTTCTATTTTTAAAACAAACACCAAACCGCTGCAAGGCAGGTTGTCCAAAAAATAACTACATGGATGTATGAGCACAGATTTGATATGACAGAATACACAGAGCAAATAAATGCATAAATCTAGCATAGGACTACTGAAAAGTCACGATTATAAATGCTAAAAGAGGTGATTGTGATAGTAATTTATGAAAAGTGTGATGACTCATATATGAAAACTTTTGAATTGGTCAGCAGAAAAAGAAACAAAACAACTGATGGAAACATTGACAGAACCTGACTATTGATATATTTTGGGGTAAAAAGTATGAGTAATTGGTAATTGTAATTATTTACCACTAAGTAATGCTTCAGATGAAGGCAAATACAATACTAAAAACACAAGACTCATTCCTGAAGCCATTCTCACTCTAAGGCAAATTTCTATTGTGAAGTGTCATTTTATGGTTTGAAAAATGGACGCAACACTTTCTACTCTTCTGTGCTTTGTTGAACCAAATTAGAAAGCAAGTTTGACAGAACTGTCCTTTTTGTAGCACATGAGCACTGTTACCAGCCTGTCTTAGGTGTGGGGTTTCAAATGATTTCAATGTGATTCACAATTTAAAAAAAAAATCATAGTGGATAAGACTGTAATTAAGATCAATGTTACTAATCAATGAAATATTTTTCCCAAATTACCTGAAAAGTCCACGAGGCTGGACATCCATGACTGGCCCAGCTCCATCCTCCATCCCATTTTGCAGGTGCTGACATGGGGGCTGCATCGTCAGGGCCTCTGGTATCGACTCGAGCAGCTCTCTGTGGCTCTTGGGGCAGCTGTCACGCCTCTCGCGTCTCTCGCATGGTTCACCCTGATGTTGCATCCTGGCATTGTACAGACGCATCCTCTTCTCTAAGAGCCTTTGGAAGTGCCTGAACTCACCGGTGCTAACACTGTAGAAGCCTGAATCGCTGAGCTCCGAGGAGATGAAAGACTCTGAGGACGGAGAGCCCCCACCTCCGAACCCCCCACACCCAGCAGTGGCAAAGTTCCCATGAGGATGACAGTCTTCCAGACCTCCCTCCTCTGTCTCCAGCCCTGAGAGATCACCCTGATGGAGGGAGCCATCTGTCCAGCCCAGACCACTGTCCAACTCATGGTGAAGGGGCATGTAACCCAATGGCTTCTCCAGGATGAAGTCCTCATCGTCAGTCTACAAGACAAGAGATGCTCATTCTAAAGGACAGTTCACAAACAGGCAAATCAGAAGCTAAAAATAACTGCATGTTGCATGTGTAGTTCCTCAATACAAACTGGATGAGTTTGTGGAACAATAGGATGCCAAAAACTCAGAAAGATTGTTTTGTTGTTTTAGTAAAGCAAAAAGGTCTCCAAAATCTAAGAATTACTCCAACAATCAACATGTTTAGACATGTTTAGACTCCTTGTGTTGTCTAATCTCCAGCCTATAAATTCTTGCAAATTTCTTTGTTCTTGTTTTAAAGTAATTATATTTAAAATTTCTTAAAGTACCAGTTCATTGTTGTCACACAGTTAAAAATGAACAGGGCAGTTGCTGAAGGTTTTAATTGCATCTCACACTCCAAAGCAGTGGAATCAGTTCTCAGGGGCCATGTTTTAATTCTTCCCCTAATTCAACACACCTGAATCAAATGGTAGTTCAACAGCAGGATTCTGGAGAACTTTATGACATGCTGCGATATTGGTTTTGGAATAGAATGGAGACTGTGAGTAGAAAATGTCACTAAAAAAGGTAAGATTGCAGATACCTGGCTGTGGCAGGTTGTTGGTTCATCTAAGTCAGGATTGCAACATCCCATCAGGCAATTCTTCCTTTTTTGTCGACGTCTGGCGAGTTCGAGATCCTAAAGAATTTATGCAGTGGAAAATTGGAAATAATTAATGGAATAAACATAACAAGTACTTTTCTAGGCTTATTTGACTACGTAACACTTTCATACATTATTTCTAAAAACCTCTTCAAGAAATATTTAATCAGAATTCTCTTTTTCTATGAAAACATTGAGTAAAAAAGCTAATAGCCAATATAAAATTGTAGCTTGAAGTCCAGCAAACCGTGGTGGTATAAGGTATTGATTCAAATGACCTGTACATATGCGTACCACGCTTTGTTTTTTTTTGTGTGTGAATAGGTTTTAAGACCACGTCTTTCCTCCACTCACCAGTCATGTGTTACTGTGTTTTGGTCTAATAAATAAAATCCCAGTTATACACACCAACATTTGTGATACTTTTGCAAGGTGCTGTAGAAGATTTCCAACATTGCTTTGATTTCTTTTTATTTTATCCAAGCTGATAAAATGCAGCATATATTCACATCAATGTTTATTTCTTGGAGCTTTTTTTTTTATTGTTCACCTCACCTGATGGTTGATTTCCACAGTGTCCCGTGGTGAGCTAGACATATAGCTGTACCGTCCTCCATCACAGTGATCTTGTGGCAGAGACAGATGGCCATAATAATGTCTGAGAAAAAACAAGATGAACATTTTAGCAGCTTTTGAGACAATTATGTATGTTTTATGAAAGCTGTGGTTAAAGCCTATAAAATGAAACCCAAAACAATCAAACAGTCCTAAATAAATTTAAATGCCAGAGCTTCTGCAATCACAGGATAATAGAGACTAATCTGCTCTGAGTGTTTACGTGTGATTTACATAACTAGTACCCAAATATTTTGCAAAAACTTCAAATATCTTATTGGATATCTTAATCAAAGTGATTGGTGGTTGTCATTCAGTGAAATAAAGTCATTTAAAGCATAATAAATAAGTCATAATTTAACAGCTCTTTATAGAAATGTTTTACTAACATGCAGGCCATTAATTCATTACATATGTTGTGTAGGCCTGTCACAATAATACACAATAATTCATAAATCAATTGATTGCATGATAAATTAAAATAAGCTCAATAACTTCCATTGGTATAAATTATCTCTTTTTTTCCTCTATTTCTACCAAAAACTGGATGATAAAAGTTTTCAGTTTGGTGCTTTGGTGTCAACAAACCTTTACTTTGAAGGACAATTTTATTTACAAAGACTTCAAAATTAATTGTATTTGTTGTTTTATTTATTTAGTCTTCCAGTTCCAGTGTTAAATGTTCATTAGAATTTAAAGTTCACTGACCTTTTAGAATGTGATCTGGCATTATTATTTTTTGCCATTACCATTATATTACTTAAAAATAGTTTCAAAACAGCAATATTATCGTTTATCACGATAATTTCTGGAGCAATTTATCACAGGCCTACCTGTCTGGGTAGGAGGGGCTAGATGTGTTAATTCCTGCCCCCCTCATTGGAAGAGGTAGGTTGAGGTGCTGCAGGTTGAGCGGCAGGGGTTCCCAGGATCCCCTGTCTCCCTCATTGCCCCGCCTCCTCTGGCCCTTGATTTGCAAGGTGATGGGGCGCTGACTCGCAGCAATAATCCTCAAAGCATCCCGCTGGCTTAGGTGTGCTAGACTCCGCCCGCTCATCTGAGTCAAGTGAACAAACACAGATAGGATATTATGGTGGAATGTACATGGCCTTTCCTGGAGGATGATATTATCATTTTTGCTTCAACCAGGGATACACATGAATTAAACTCCAATTGTCACTCTTTTTTTATGATAAATTTGCTATGGATTTATCATAAAACATGAGTTTTAATCTCTGCAACATTTAACTTTAGCAGAATCAGAAGTCACATCATCAAAACGATAGTCATCAGTTATTTGAATGCATGAGGTTGACTGGGTTAGGAAATGTATTTGGCATGTCGTTTTTATGCCCTCATATTATGTCACTAAATAAATCAATAACTTTTCTTTAAAGTTTTCCACAGGAGCACTTTTTTCTCAGTGTCTGACAAACGAACAACATTTGCTCTGCTCTGCTCTATTTCCTCTTCATATGAGTTATTTAAATTACGCATCTGCCACATGTCTGCCTTTACCTTGAAATGACTTTTCACTAACTACCCACTAAGCAATAGCCCTGAGGCCAAATATAGATTTCATTTAGACATCAGTTGAAGTTAAACTTATGCAATCCTGATTTAGATTCATATATGTATTTTAGACTGAAACTGTCTGGTTTAAAAGTAAACTAAAAATTAAAAGGATAAAAACGAAATGTCTGGAAATCCACATGGAAAAAATATTAGGAAGCATGAACTGGAACTTAAAGAATCTAATTTGATTAAATTTCATTGGGAAGCTCAAAAACTAAATTAAACTCCACATTTACAGTGTGGGGTATATATGAGGATAACAAAAATAATATCAGAGGACTGTAAAAAAACTGAATGTTGAAAATTAAGTGAATGAAAACCAATAAACATTTCTTCAATAAAAACAGCAGTGATTGGAATCTTAACTCAGTTTTTCTCTTTTTGAGCTTCCAGTTCAGCAAGCAGAGATTTATGTAACAAAACTAACAGATCTTCATGCCAAGATATCCTGTACAGCGTGCCAGTCTTTCTTTTAAGAAACATTTTTAAATATAATTACATAACTAAATGCTAATTTGGAGGCTCAGACAGGAATAGTTGACAAGTACAGAAGCCAGAATGTAATGCTTTCTACTCTCATGCAGGTTGATTGTAAATCTGGAGGTTTAGAGTCCTTGTCAAATGGCATTTTGACTAAAAATCTGGAGGTTTTTAGTAAAAAAACCTCCAGATTTTTTTTGATAATTGTTGTGTTCAAACCATTATCTTAATGGTTTGAACACAATACATGTTGTAAACTGGCAAATGGCGTTTTGATTAAAAATCTGGATTTTTTTTTTTTCAAAATCTCTTTCTCTTTCTTACTGTTTATTCAATGTCACATGCTTTAAAGCACTTTGAAATGCCTTGCTGCTGAAATGTGCTGTACAAATAAAATTTGATTGATTGATTGTTTTGAATAACATATTGAGTAAACTTGAGGGAGTCATGACTAATCACATGAGTAAAACTATTCAACACAAAGACAGTGCTGCAAAAATAATAGTTGCCCCTACTTTGAGGGGTCAAACTCTGGAAGGTTTGACCCCTCAAACAGTGATTCTGAAAAAAGATGGGAAAAGAAAAAAATATATAAGTGACCTACAATACTTAGAGAATCAGTTTAGGCCAGAAAATGTACAGCCAGTTGCCTCAGTAAAGGAACAGTAAGATCTTACCTGTAGTTGAATTATAGAATGTGCTAAAGCTATGCTACAATATCTTTGATAGCACCACCTAAGTGAGTGCCAACACATCCATATATGGCATTGCTTTTGGTACATTTTGCTCCCAAAGCCAATTAAAATTGTTGCTGCTGTATGCAATATTTGTCTATATCATTTTGAGAATGTTATAGGTAAAATACCCTGCATTTCTGCAATCAGTTTGTTCTAGACTCAAAGATGAAGGCAGAATAAATCCGATAACTGCATGTTGCACATCACAGTTCTGTGTGTGTGAATCAAGTAAAGGAATCAAGTAAAGGTCAGAATCAAGTAAAGGAAAATATGAGATGATTCTTGCATATTTTTTTTCCAAAAAAGGACAAAAAACTCTGAGAAACTGCACAGATGCTTAATCCTCCATTTATCTTCCAAAAATTTTTGACTTCTGTGTGTTGTCTTCACACAATGTAAATACTAATCTTGGCAGTTCCCATTGAAATTATGTGAACTTGGACTTCATAACAAATTTATCCCAGGAACAACTGCTATGAACAGAGTGGGGAATACAGCTTAGCTAATGACCAGATGCTGCTCAGTGGCATCATGGGAATCACTGAGGAATTATTCCAGTTCGGTCATGGATTGTGGGAATCCAGCATCCATCGACGCCTCTGTGCATTTTTTGGAATGCAAGCTGCCATTTTGAAGGCAGCATTCATTCCATCATCCTTTTCTTTACTATTATCTTAATGGTTTGAACGCAATACATGTTGCAAACTGGCAAAATCATAAGACACAACTGGGCAGCAAGATTCTGCTTCTCTCTGACAGATGGTTGGATTAGGGACACCTGGGCAGCCACACCATGTTCATCAAACATGACAAATATGAGTATGTCTCTGTAGGTCTGCAGTGAGGTGTGTTACTTCTGAAAAGGGGCATAACCCTTATTCTGCTTGCTACATATCAGTGCATGCAGCTCAAAAGCCATCGAATTAGACGCATGAACAGCATTGTTAACTCCAGTGCATCAGAACCATGAGTCACCCTCCGCTACATTCAGCTACACACAGACACACACACACGCGTACACGCACACACACAACATGCATACAGCGTGAGCAAAGGAGCACAAAATGGCACCTGTATGTAAAGACGGCGGATGGCAGCAGGATGAGTGGGATTCTTTTGAAGGTGCCAGTGACACAAATGAGACAAAATCTAACATAACTTTGTAAAGAAATGGCATGAACAACTTAACATTGTGTTTAATTGTCTCACATTCAAATGCAAAATCCTGCAGAAATCCCAATGCCTACTTTGAGTCTCATTAAATACACACATACTGACACATCCACAAGCAAAAAGCACAAGCACTGGTGACTCCATTTTATCTAATTCAAATGAGAGCTAATTAAAAATACACAGCAGGATTTCTAGCAGTCAGACAGTTTTTTAATGGCTTACCGTTTGGTCACCCATCCATGGTCCAGAGAGCCAACAGCCCATCTCCACAGCAACAGAAGGCAGCTGCCGAGGGTTTTGGTAAAATCAGCGGCTCTGCTGGTTCCCTTCAGCAGATCGCCTCTTCTGCCTCCTCCTCTTCCTCCGCCTTGCAATCTCTCTCTTTCTTTCTTTTATTCTCTCTCTCTCTCTCTAATCACAGTGCCTTTTCCCCTCAGCTTTTATCCTCAGCTTCTGTTTCCCCACACTTTCATTCAAGCAGGACCTCTTGTTTTCCATCTGTTTCTTCAACATCTCTTGCCACATCTCCTTCAAAAACTGCTTGAAATTTCAACATTCTGCACACAAACAGAGGCACGACATGCATGCATGGCAGCGCTGCAGTCATAAAAAAAAATATGCGCAGGCTGACAGTGCGTTCAGAGATGGAGAGGGAAACACACAGCCAGGATGCTGTCTGATTGGTGTCCTTTAAAGAGTCATCAGCCAATCACATGCACTGTTCTCCTTGTGGAGGTTTTCCTCTGTGTCTGAAACTCCTCAGCAAAGCTTCATGCAAGAGGCAGCCTCCACTGCAGTGATACACTCGGCAGCAGGGGAAACACGCTATCAAACTATCCATCTTCTAGCTGCTCAGCTAGGATCTCCCCCTAGCAGATGCATGCTGGGAGATGGAGTGAAGGCATTGTGGCTCTTTCTTGCGTATCGGAATCAACCCGAAAGATGTTCTACTTTGACAAGTTTATTAATCTGAGTTTTGAAACAAACTTAAAAGAGGATGCTCAGTCCCTATCTTAGGCATTTTTTTCAGACTTTCGTTTGTATCAAATTCTCAAGTACAAGAGCAACAACACATTTTCACAA